GAATATAGAGCGAAGAATCCTGGAGGTCGCAGTGCTTTCTGTCTCTGCAGTTGCAGCCTTGTATTAGACCTTTCTCAGCTTACGCCCTTTGTTCAGTACTCTGAATTCGTGGTGTTAACGAAGTTCCAATGGCAGTCATACCAGCGACTCATTCGATACCACTCAAACGATTTGATCACAGAATTCCATTTTCCGTGACACTCGGCGACCGCGAAACAGACGGTGATCCGAGGTCGTTCGTGATGCGCACTGGTTTCGCATCTCACTCGCTGGCACCAGGAATGGATACCCCTCAGTATACAGTAAGCGGTCAACTACCATTACCACTAAAACTGCAGTACTCTCCTTGTTGGTATGCTATTACGCAACTCTTGTACCAAGAAAACCAGTTTTACGTGGACACTTCGCCCCTCCTCTACGTCGACGCTGTAAGTTCCAAATTTTACCTTGACGTAACTTGCAGGTTTCGGAAGACAAAGTTGACGCCTCCATGCGCGACGAAGCCTTGACGCGCCTCCGCTCACTTCATCGGGCATACTATGACTTGTCGCCGACAACGTTTTGCAAGGCGGTATGCTTGACGGATACATTCCTTACAAGGGTGAAAGTCAAGCCGAAGTACATGATGTGCGTCGCAGCGGCTTGCTACTACATTGCTTCCAAGTTCGAAACTTGTAAGGTGAGTCTTCGTGTCTAAAGGTTTGATGTATCCAATTTTCCGCGACAAGTCTTATTGATCTTTTCTATTGCTATCTGAGGTCAAATATCGACATTTCTAGTCCTATTTCTCCATTTTGAGCCTATATCTGACAGTCTCTTGCAAATTTAATGTAACATGAACACCCCAGGACATTGTTAGATAGTTCCTTTAGTGATATGGTGCGCCAAGATCATTTTCTATCTTGCGAGCACTTATATTCAACTTTTTTTGACTACAGCAGCCGCGTCCAACACTCGATAGCCTCGTCCGTCTCTCCCATTGCGGTGGGTCCGCGTCGGATCTTGTTCGCATGGTAGACATAATCCTCACCAAGTTGGGGTCAGCAAACGTGACGGCAATTGGTGCGGCATCATCTACAGTGCTGAATTTTCTGCAGCTGTTCCTCTATGCAGGCTCTGATCCATCTGGTGTAGATCAGGGTGCTTTTGCCCTGCCGGCCTTCCTTGTTCGCCAGCTAGAGATCG